GCCGCAAAAAATAACACCATAATCTGGAAACTCTTCAAGGGCCGATTTAAGTGTAGCCATGACTTTGCCTCCACCGCCTTCTAGAAGACGTCTTGCAGAGGCTAGCATGCCTTTGTGGACCTGATAAGTTCTCCCAAGCCAATTCATATCGTCATAGTCGCAGGTCATATCGGTAAGGATATCTTCGAAGCCCCAGGTACCTCTTAGTGTTAAGACAGCAGCTTTAGATTCGTGATCTATGGATAAATAATGGACTAAAGGGAACCCCTCGGAAGTAACGCCTGCAGCATTCGTGCCGCCCGCCGTGTCAACGAACGACGAAAGCAGAATGGTTGATGCCGGTAGCCCTGTGTAGTCTGAAAATGAATTATGCTCGTGGTGATCGACTGGGTCCTCATAACGCAACTGAGTAGTGGCATTAGAAATGCCCATTATCCTTAAAAAATTTGACCCGTACGATGCAGATGAAAAGCGAGAGAAACGACGAATATTTCGTACTAGGTTGTTGGATGGGTAAAGCCCAGGGACATATCCGGTACGTGAAAGTGATGAGAGAGCAGAATTGTCGTCATACGCACTCTTCCCGGTTCGAGGTGCTAACAATAGCGAGGTTTCGGATCCTGTGGCAATAGAGTAGAGGCTAGGAACAGCTGATTTGGACGAGTTGCGCCGAGACATCATCGGGGTACCGGGGCGGCTGGTGAAGTTGAGGAAGAGAGACATGTCTTTCTCCGACCTAGCCTTTGACAAGGAAGAGTTGCTGCGGATATGCTCTCTGGGAAAAGACGGAGAGCTAGGCTGTGTCTCTGGAGATCGTATGGAGTAAGGATCTGGGTGAGTGAAAGACTCTGGGCCTTTTTCGCGAAGTAAGTAGCGGCTGGATGCTAACTGATTTCCAGAATTAGCCTCGTTGGAGCTGGCTTCGCGTTCAACCTTTCTTGGAGTAGATTTCTCTTTTTTGGGAGAGAGTGGCCGAATTCTATTTGTGGAATCTGACATCGCGGTCTTATTTTTTACGGCAGAGGTATTGCTCTTTTCCCTTTCTTTGCTGGAACTTAGCACCTTTTTCAGGCCGCTTTTGTGTCTGCTCCTGGTTTCGTGAAAGGGGCTAACAGAGGGGTTACCCTGCGCTGCAGTTGAAGCTCCCTTTGATAACCTCTTTGATAAATTGTTCCCGGGCTTTTCCTCTACGTTAGCCTTCACCTTGCTGGTTATGCGCGCAAAAGACCTAGTCCCAACAGTTCTTGGAGTCTCGGAGCCACTTGTATCTGACGCAGAAGTCCTCCGACGTCGATGAGTGCGTTTTGGCCGCATCCGGGGACTGCTCTCAATACTGGTCGACTGTGTAAATCTCGCATCATCATTGGAGGTATTCTCTCTAAAGCCTGTTTGAGACCAACCATATTGTGCATCCGGTGTAGTAACTTGGGAAGGCATCCGCAACTCTGAGTCATGGAAGGAGTTTGACACCGTCTTAAAAACAACTGTATGTTTCGGGAGGGATTCGCCTATTAGTTCTGAACCAACAATTGCATTATTGTATTCTGGCTGCACCCTTTCTTCAATCTTTGTAGTTCCAGGCGGGGGAGAAATGTTGACACGGCCCGAGTCAAAAACGTCTACCGTTATTGTCCTAGCGGTGACTGTATCGACCTTTATGGTTGCATGACAACCTCGCGGTAGCTGCTCCGCAATATAACGACGAATCTCATCATCTCCAAGGTCATGTTCGCAATCTGCGTGAAGAGATACGTGGGGAACAAGATGACTGAAAGACCGGTTTCCTCGCTCAAGGGTATCTAGGCTCTCATTTCCGCTAGTATCAGGTATAAGGAAAGAGGAGGGCCGCAAGGACGAAGAATCACCTCCGTCCATGTCTTCGCCAAACGCCGTTTGGTGAGTCCCAACAACATCGGCTCTCAGCCCATTATCGAGAATGACAACGTCCCATATAGTTTCCTCATTCCCATTCTGCCGGGTTTCCTTGTCCGTCTGTCTACGGCCCCATCGCTGCAATAAAACAAACCCTATAGAGCCAACGAGTAGATCTCCAACACCAACCGTCTCTCCAAGCGGAATGACCTCAGGATTGCGAAATTCACGTCGAATGAGGGTAATGATCGAGGCGATTGCTCTGGATGATTCGGTAGACCCAAGGATGGCATCTAGCGTCGAAAGAAGCGTCTGAGAAAATGATGTCACAGAGGAGAGTGTAACTGTCGAAAGATGAAAGCCGGCAGAGGCGAAGAATGAAGCAGACGTAATGGTGGTGTGCAGGGTTGCCAGCTACAATCAAACATTAGCTATCCCGAGCGCGTATATAAATACATATAGAGGAGGAATGGCTCACACTACGCTCCAAGAGTGACTCTGCCTCCGATCTTCCATGCTCGTCGCTGCTCCGAGAGACTACATCTCGGCCAGCCCGTATAAGGATACCTTCTACCACAGCTCTGCTTAGCTCTAGCCCGGTAAGAGTTGTTGCTCTGGCGCTATTTATTACAAAACCCCCAAGATACGTCCACAGCCGCAGGGAGAGTGAGGTCGACTGCGTCACCAAGCTGACCAGGGACGCAACAGGGGACGGTAAAAGCGTGCTGCTGGACGGACGACCACCCTGAGGCTTCTTCCACTTGGTCACCGATGTCGCTGATGCCTTGTCAGGGTGGTCATGCCCAGGCATGGCTCAGAGAGAGAGTACGTGCGCTAAACGATGTCGATAACCGATATCAACAGATCGATCCATTGATCCGTCCACCGCGGGGTCGTGCCAACGCAGAAACTGGGGTATCTGTCGGTATATAAAACAGCCGCCATGCAGCATTCGCTCAGCAAGATGCCATCGCGACAGGATTCCAGCTGGGGTTGAGGTTTGTTCGATGTCATCCGCAGCGCTGAATGTGACAGGCGCAAAAAGGAAGAAAAAGGCTAAAAAGCAAGATAAGGAAAAAAAGGAGACGAGATGGCACTTCCCCTTTAGGCAACTCGAGTAACATGTGATCACAGCTGATAGATTATGTAATAAAATTTCACACGTCACATGATCAAGCCGAAGGCGCCTTCCTCACATTTCATTTTTACATAATCATATTAGATAAGAACTCTATCTGAATGCATTACATAATTTGAATTTAACTGAAAGGGGAAAAAAGCAACGTCCGAAGTTTGCAGAAACGTCCATCCACGACTTCGCCAGCAGCGGCAGCAGCAGCAACAACAACAAAAACAATAACTATTACACAGCCCCAGGGAGAGAGCGGCTTTTGCGAAGCCACTAGTTTTTAAGGAGTACTCTGTACGGGGTGCGGGTTGGAGGACAACAGAGCACGGCGTGGAGGTAATAATAATAATGCTTGTGGCCTGCAGGAACGGAAAACAGCTAACATGTGAGCTGTCGCCTGTCTGCTCCGCAAGGACGCTTCTTCCCGCCAGGCAAGAAGACGAGTTACGATGTAACCCCACAGAGGGTTCCCCTAGCCTGCAGCCTGCCCTGGTTCTCGAGCCGGCCCGGTCTTGGGTTTATACGAGGTTAACTGGTTGCTCGTGTCAGTTCGACAAATCTGGGCAAAAAAGCCACATTTACCCAGCCAGCCATTCAAGTCGCGTCCTGGGTGTCATGGAGTCAGAGGGGGCGCCGAGTTGACGATTCTTCAGGGAGATTTCTTGCGTTCGGAAAAACCAACTATTCGATAAGGAGCCTGTAGTGCTCACTGGCTCGTCAGAAGACCCCGTCATCTGCAGGGACTATCCTTACCGAATCAGCGGGCTTTGAGCAACAGTCAAGCTGCTTTTCCATTGGCATCCCTCGCTCCTGGTGGGTGATGTACAGAGTATGGGAGCAGAGAGTAATAATAATATACTCCGTGCTTAGGGGGCCGCTGCTAGCAGTCGTGCGAAAGGAGATGCCGCGCATCACGCAGAATGCTGGCGAACCATCGTTCTTCCTCGGCTTGGGGCTCCTGGTTCTGGAAGCAAGCGGTGTCGATTATTTTCCTGGAGCGGTTTCCCGGGATGCTTCAACGGCATTTCTCCCCCGTCACCCCAGAGAAAAATCATATTCTATTTTCCGCCTGTGAGCATCGTTTCTTCAGCAGGGCCAGCTGGTCGAGGTGCAAGACGAGTTCGATTTCAGGGTCTCGTTCCCTTGCTTCGTGAGGTGTTCAACCCTTTTTAGTTTACCCAAACCCATCACGGATGTGCGGGCTTTTTTTTTTTTTTTTCCTTTCTGTTTTCCTGGGTTATGGGTTAATGTTCCCATTCCCCCGAGACTGACAAAAGAGTTAGTCAACAATTAAGTACGTGCACATCGGATGCCATCCTCCTGCCTGGACCAAGCAGGGTCGCATTCACTTTTCTTCCGTACGGAGTACAAAGGGTTGCAGAAGATATCATATATTCAGCAGCCAAAAATTAATGTTTATGATCCGTTTGCCCACTTGAGGCTTTCTGGACCAGAGGATCAGATACCCTTGCAAGGGAAGCCTTGGGGGTGAACCGTCTCGCCTAACTCCAAACTCTTCGCCTATATCTCCACCTCGTAGCAATTAAAATACTAGCGGACGGATACTCTCCTCCCCTCTTCACCGGTTGGAAGGTTCTGCGAAGGTTGAAGATCGCCAAGTCGCCGCCTGCTGGTTGTACTTGACCTTGATCCATTCCTTCCGACATTCCAGATTTCTTCGATTTCTTCGATTTATTCTCTCTTTCTTTGTTTGCCATCCTTCGTTGTTCTGGAACTCTCAGCGCCATGATATCCTGTTGATATGGCACCCAAGTATGGCCTGCGCTCATCCCGCAATCAGCCATGTAACTCGTCTCCGTCCTCGAATCCCGATAAATGGCTCTCCTGGAAGAAGCTGTTCTTTGGTAGCAGGAAAAAGGCCCTGTCGTTTGAATCGATCGTTAACGGCTGCACTTGTTCGGTCAGTGTCACATATTTTATTCTGGACGGCACGGATATCTAACATTCAATATATTAGCCCTGTGGATTGGTCGATTTTATGAATTATCTCCTTTATGTTGAACGCGCTGCCGAAAATCTTCAATTCTACCTATGGTACCAGGACTACATCCAGCGCTTCGCCGCCCTCTCTGAATCGCAGTGGGCATTGTCACCGCCGTGGACGGAAGAGCAACGGAAGAGAGTGATCAGGCTTAACAATCAATCGAAAGAGAGAGCAAAGCGTGCCCCTTCTGTTACTGGTGCTTTTGTACCCGCTCCCGCCTTTCCACCTGTTGGAGAAACTGAGCTGGATGATTTGACACCTTTTGCAACCCGCCCAAGCAGCTCCCACGTCGACCTTGAAACCAGCAGTATTACCCGTGGAGACTGGTTTGACTGGGATGGGGGATCGAAAGCAGCGGAATGCCAGGAGTCTATCGACGAATCAAGCGCCTTCGACGGTATCAACCCTCTTGAGCCATGTATGACTGCCAGTTCTATCAATTACCTATTGTGCCAACCAACCATTGCTAACAAGTTACAATTTTCAGTTACTATTCAACCACATCGCAAGGAAATCAACCGAATCATATCCACCTACATCTTAGATAACGCACCCCGGCAGCTGAATCTCACGTCAATAGAGCGCATAATAGTAATGCAGGCTCTATCCGCCACCACCCATCCATCCGCCTTTGCCGGCGTAGTCCAAGAAGTCGAATGGAATCTACGCCAACAATCTCACCCGCAATTCCTCCGATGGTCTCTAAATAACAGCAATAGCAGCCGGCTACTGTGTGCTCGTGTATTTAGCATGCTAATCATCGCGTGCGGGCTCGCCTTAGCTATTGTTTTGGTATTCAGCAAGGTCCATCGCGGCTGGAGGATGTTTTCTGCCCTGCTTCTATTTCCTGGTATCGCATCATTGATTGCTGCGATGGAAGGAACCTGCATGGTATGTGGCTTTCCAACTCCATACAGCTATCCCCAATGCTTACTCCGTCCATTTTTAGTTATTTCTTTGTTTTTACAAGCGTCAACTACATCCCTGGGAGATATACGGCGCAACAAATGAACTTCCAAAGAACTCTTGTCGACTTGATCGGAGCGCATTTGATGCCTTCGGGTCAACGAATTCCTACGATAACGAACCTTGGAGACAGAAGAACAAGAAAAGGGGCTTCTTCAGCAAAGTTTTAGATCCACCAGTGCGAATTCAAGATCCAACCCTTTGCCAACTTCAGACCATGACCATCATCCGCTCAACGACACTCGGAACCGCGATTACCGGTGTGCTCGTTGGCATTTTCATGACTTTACCAAATGGGAACTATTTCTAGTCGTGAAAGTTTGCCACCCTACTATTGACTAGTACTGCAGTGCAAGGTCCACTTCTGGCTTACGCTATGTCGACTCATTTTTTTACGACTCTTCTTAGGCGCCACAACCTATATCTACCTTTACCTTCCTCTTCTACCTTACTCCGCCATTATCATTTCCGGCTTAACTATAATCGGGGTGGGCATTTTGAGCCATGTTTATAGACGTCATACGAAAATCTGCGGGATGGGGGTCTTTTTTTTTTTTTTTTTCTTCTTAGGGTATGTATGCTAGGAGTTATGGCGCATCGGATTGGGACGACTCCTTTTTCCACACATATACCACACATATACCACGGGGCACGGGGTCATGAGACCGGTTTGATACTCTGACGGCGATCAGATACCATGGGGTTGACTTGTATCAATATCCAGCAGAACATAACACTTTTCACGTCCATTTCTATGAGTTTGGCCGGGTAAAAATCACAAGCAGCGCTTGCTGCCATTCTCAGTTGCTAATATAGATAACTAAATATAATTCCATGAATGAGAACAAGCTATGTACATATAGAACTGAATAATACGACCTGACTCCAGTAAAGCGCTGTGAAGCCGAATCGAAAAGGGGGTGTGCATATATCCAATTTATCCAAAATAGGCTTAGCGTCTTCGCGACGCGCCCAGGCTTATTAGTTAAGTGATGTGGGAGAATTTATTTTGTCACGGCGAACGGATTCAATGTCAACAAGAGCCTAACGGCGACAGCAACTGGCTTCTGTGGGACGATGCCAGACACCCTAGCGCCTCCGAGAAGACGGCAAAGGGCTGCAGAGTCCGATTCTGATGACGATGAAGCGTCCAGCGGGGGCCGAGATGGGACCCCGTTCTCGCATGCATCTAACGGCAGCAAACGCGTTAGACTAAGTACTGGAAGAAATGACCGTGAGAGCGAAGCAAGTGAGGAATCTTCGTCTGAGGAAGATTACAGTGATGAGGTCCGTAAGGATGAGACGCTGGTAACAAGAGCTTTGAGAGACACCTCTGAAAATGCGGCATCTTCGAGTAATGGGCATCATGGAGGTTCCCGTAACCAGGGCGTGGGAAATGCTGCAGGGAAAGGCCTTGAGCATCTCCCTGGGTCAATTGTGAGAGTAAAATTAACGAATTTCGTGACTTATACCTCTGCCGAATGTCATCCGGGACCGAGACTAAACATGGTGATTGGACCTAATGGAACTGGAAAAAGTACCTTTGTCTGCGCCATATGCCTTGGACTCGGATGGGGGCCATCGGTGAGCATATGCGAACTTAGTACTCTGATTTTTATGTGAGGCTATTCACTGACGTTGTGTTTTTTTTTACCGTAGTATCTTGGTCGAGCTAAAGATGTAGCTGAATTCGTGAAACATGGCGCCGACGAAGCTACCATTGAGATTGAGCTTAAAGCCAGAGCAGATATGGATCAAAACCCGATAATTTGCAGAACGATTAAGCGTGAAGGCAATAAAAGCACATTCTCGATAAATGGAAAGCCTGTTAGGCAAAATGTTGTGTTATCGCTTGCAAAGTCGTTCTCAATCCAAATTGACAATCTTTGTCAATTTCTTCCACAGGATAAAGTGAGCGAATTCGCTGCCTTATCCCCCATTGATCTGTTGCATTCTACCCAACGAGCAGCCGCCGGGCCTGAAATGGTGAAATGGCATGATGGCCTGAAAGAATTACGGACAGGGCAGAAAGAGATCTTGGAAGAGAGCAAGAACCAGAGAGAACATTTGGCAAGCCTGGAAAAGCGCCAACAAATGCAACGCGAGGATGTGGAACGAATGAAACAACGAGAGGAAATTAAAAAGCGGCTGAAATTCCTGGAAATGTCAAGACCTCTGCCCCGATTTAACTCATGCAAGAAAGAAACCAGCGAAGTATTGGAACAGAAACAGAGGCTATTGCGGGAACAACAAGAGCTGGAAAGGAAACTGGAACCGGCACTGAGAGCTGTCAACTCGAAACGGGCCTATTATTCTAAAATAGAAGCTGTGCTCAAACAGAAGAGAGTCCTTTCGCAAAGGGGGGAAGAGGCTGCAACCGCCATCTCGGAGAAACTGGTCAAAATTGATGACAAGATAAAGGATCTGAGCAATCAGATCGAGGCAGAAAAGCAGAACGGTGGTAGGCAGGTGGAGGAATGCAAGAGAGTCCAACAAAGTATCAACAGGCTCCAGCGTCAAATGGAAGAAGAGGCCGTTGAGTTTGATGGCGCTGCATACAGCGAGAAAATAGTGAGTTCAACGTACCCCTCCTCGATCAATATCTCCATGAGCCTAATTGTCCCCAGCGTGATTGTGTTCGGCGTATACGTGAAGTAGAAGAAAAGGCGAGAGAAATCCAAGCTAGAAAGTCAGACACTGTGCGCAAGGTGGAGACCCATAAGAGAAAGATTGCCAATGCTGAGCAGCGATTGATTGATTTGAAGTCTCAATCTGGCCAGCAAGAGGAGAAGTTGAAACGGCTCTCCGACCATTCATCCAAAGCCTGGGAATGGATAAAGCAGAATCAAGACAAGTTTGACAAGCGTGTGTATGGGCCTCCAATTGTGGAATGCTCTGTCAAAGACCCAAGGTATGCCAGTGCTGCCGAGTCTCTTCTACAAAGAAATGACTTTATTGCTTTTACAACACAATCCCGGGAGGATTTCAGAAAGCTACAGCGGTTTCTAAACCAGGAGCTGGGTCTACACGATATAAGTATAAAGACATGTACCGTGTCGCTGTCCAGCATGTCATCTCCGGTAACCGATGAAGAGCTTCGCTCGCTGAGATTTGATGGCTGGGCAAAAGACTATCTAGACGGCCCAGAACCTGTTCTAGCGATGCTGTGTAGTGAGAATAGGTTCCATCAAACAGCCGTCACTTTAAGGGACATTTCAGATGAGGAATATCGGAAGCTGGAGAGAGGGACCATAACCACCTGGGTTGCTGGAAAGCAAGCTTATCAGGTCATCCGCCGTCATGAATATGGCCCAAGCGCAACAACCACCAGAGTAAGGCAATTATGGCCTGCTCGGATCTGGACTGACACTCTTGTCGATTCCTCTTCCACTGAACGAGACCTGATGAACTGCATTTCGGAATGGAAACAAGAGCTGAGCGAGATACTTACTTCCGGTGAGGAAGAAAGGAGTACGCTGCAGCGATTAAAGGGTGAAAGAGACGCAGCTTCTGGTGAAAAGGACGAACTTGAAAGGGAAAAAGCAGAGAAACAATCAGCAATGGTGAACTATAACGCTCTCCCAACGAAGCTTGGTAAGTTGGTTTGTTCCATATCTTCAAGTATATGTGCTACGACCCAAATGCTGATACCACACTCAACTAGCCCAACAAAAAGAGAAACTGAAAGTATGCAATACTCGGGTAGAGGGTATTAGAGATCGAGTTGAGGCATTGCGAGACAAGCAAGATGAGCTTGCTGTCGAGAAAGCCGCAGTGGCTCTTGAGTACTCTGTGAGTTCCGTTATGACATTATTGATTGATAGGAAAGTTGAGGAGCTAATAATAACATCTCGGTAAGGCTGCGGTGGTATCTCTCGCCAAAACACTTGAGGAAGTGGCTCGTGTGGAAATCCTTGCAATCGAAGCCATGTCTGACGTGAGCACGTTAGAGGAAAGGAATGCTGAGTATACCGGTGAGCTCAGCGAGAAGACAGCAGCAGTCGAACAGGTAGTGCGAAAACTAGATGAATTGCGAGATAAGCTCCGAACGTCAAAAGCAGAAGTTCGAGCCGTTGTTTCTCAGATGGGTTCGACCCCGGGACTGAGAGAGGTCAGCGAAGAGGTCAAGGACCACACCATCGAGCAACTAGAAGCAGACATCGACTCTGAGAAGGCCAGGCTTGAGCTGACGCACGAAGGAAGCGGCAATGTCATTCAAGAGTTCGAACAACGACAACTCCGCATCGACCAGTTGAAAGAACAGCTCAGCTCGTCAGAAGAGAGACTGGCTGCGATTGAACAGTCGATCAAGGAGATACGAAGCGAGTGGGAACCACGGCTGGATGCAATCGTGTCTAAGATCAGTGATGCATTCGCAGACAACTTTGCACGTATTGGATGCGCAGGACAGGTATCGGTTGATAAGAATGAAGGAGCCGGAAACGATGCTGGGCCCGGAAGCGATTTCGACCAGTGGTCCATCAAAATACAGGTCAAGTTCCGAGAACACGAAGAGCTATCCATTCTTGACTCGCATCGGCAATCTGGTGGTGAGCGAGCAGTCAGCACTATCTTCTACCTCATGGCGCTGCAGTCACTCTCTGCCTCGCCGTTCAGGGTAGTCGACGAGATCAACCAGGGCATGGACCCTCGCAATGAACGTATGGTCCACGAACGCATGGTTGATATTGCCTGTGGACAAGCCGATTCAGGCACCACTGGCGGACAGTACTTCCTGATTACGCCGAAGCTGCTTGGTGGACTGGTATACAAGCCCGGCATGACGGTGCTGTGTATTTTCAGCGGCGAGTTCATGCCCGAGGATTATACGCAGCTGGACTTTCAGCGGTGCGTGTTACGAATGAAGGAAGTCAAGGCTCAGCAGGGACTGTCAGAGAAGGCCCGGGGTAAGAGGGCGATGGTAGGGTGAAGAAGATTTAGCTATGTCAACGCTTTTTTCTTTTCTTCTATTTTTCCTGTTATTTGATTTGCATGTATGCGGTTCAATATTGGCGATGGGTGGTTACTTTGGATATCCATTTCACATACTTAGATAGCACCTTGCATTATTACTTTCTTTTTCGGAGTCTCGCGACTCTACTGGTTTTCAAGTCGCATGACATACTTATACGTAATAAGTAACTACTTGGATTTGGCAGGTTAGTGTATTTAATCATGGTGGTCGCTTCTGGAGCCATGAAGTCTGCCTCGTCCCTGGCCCTTGAGCAGGCCGGTTGATCGCTCAACCCAGGCCGTAGCAGCAACACTGATTCCACCATCCCTACTCGTCTCCCGCTCTACGACACTGAAGACTTTCTCTCTACGCTTGTCAGCGTCAAGCTTCAATCCTTGATCCGCCAGCCGAGTGGTTTGAGTTGTGGTGGTGTCCTCCGTTTCAGGCCGGAGATTAAAAGCCGTCTTCCATGCCTCGAGGCCTCCTATCACACCCATGTTTCGCGTACTAGGTATACGCATTAACGTTTTCTCGACCTGATAGCCTACCTCTTCGGCGATGCAGACGAGTTTGGCCGTTAGCGAGCCATAGGTAGACGAGGCCGAGGCTGGGTTCTGCTGGGCTTCAAGCTTTTTCTCTCGTAGGGCTTTCAAATCACCACTCTGCGGCTGATGTTCGTATCGGTCATTCTCGGTCTCTTCTTCTTTTTCCTCTCCTCCTGCTTCGTTTGCTGTGTTTGTTTTTGGATGTTTGGGAGGCGGATAGCGGTATCTGGCGCCTGATAGGCCGTGGGAACAGCATGGTATGGCGAGAAAGGGCAGTGGTTGGGAGGGGTCTGACAGGACTCCAAGCAGCGGAGTCCAGAGGGTGAGTTCATCTGCGTGGTTAGAGATGATGAATGTGCCGCTCTTGAAGAGGCCGGATATAGTTGTTGTTGTTGGTGGTGTTGAGTCGTCTGAATGGGCTGGGCCTAGTACATCTTTATAGGGCTGGGGCACACATATGCTTTCCTTCAGGTGCTGCTGCACCCAGGGAGGGAAGATAGACCAGGTCTTGCGTGAGCGTGCATCAAACCCGAAGCCCCGGTACCCTTCAGCCAGAAGGATGTAGACCAGCACTCCATTACCGCATGCAATGTCAACGAATCCAGGAAAGTTGGTTCTCATGACAGGAGCATCTCTCTTCATCACGTCAGGCTGTTCGTCTACTTCTTCTTGGTTAGAGTAGTCGGAGGAGCAAGAAGGGAGGTGATACATGACATTCCATAGCTCGATGAGGAATGCGGCGATGGAGAGGTCCTCGAATACATGTTTCGAGGGCTCGGTGACTTCCACCCAGTTTCTGACCAGGCTTGGAGCATACTTTGACTTTAGCCTGGTATATGTGTTCTGCACGGTGTGTTGGGGGATGAGATTATCCTTGAACGGCCGTGGTTGCGAGCCGCTTGGATGCGAGGTTGCGGCCGGGCCAGAGGCAAGACGGACGTGTATGGAGAGGAGGTTGAGGAGGGTGCGGTGCAGCCGGTTGGAGACGGTGGACGGTATGCCTGGTGTGAAGGGGAGGAAGTGTAGGGAGAGTGTGCCTTGGCCGGTGGAGGTGGAGTGGGAGTACAGAAGGGCAAATCCGCGGACGAGTGGATGGTAGAAGGGTATGTCTTTCTCCTGGGCCGCGTGGGGGTAGTATACGGCCAGATGAGATGTTTTGTCTGTTTCTTTTTCCTTTGTGTTTTTGTATAGACGGCATGTCTGGTCATGGGGAGGGTCGAGGTTTGGGTTTCTGGGTATCAGCCTCCTGACGACGACCCGGTCCAGGTCGAATCCAGGGAAGTGAAGCGGCAGACGAGTGTCCTTTGCATGGCATACACTCTCAGCTTCTTTTTCTGATGCTGGGCCATGATGCTCGTGTTCTGTAGTGGCAGCGGCCAGCACTCCAGCACTGTCATGGAGGATGTCCGCCCTGAACAGGCTGGGGGATATCAGGTTCGGATTGGCCAGCAGGTGAGTTGAGACCGAGACAAAGACGGCCGGCCCGAAGCCGAGCTGCGACTGGCTGAGCGAGGGCGCCGTCAGCCAGCTGTCCAAGCAGTGGCCGTCCGAGTGGCCGTCCTCCCCTTTGGCGGCCAGAGGAGAGGGCTGCAGCGACAGCGCAAAGTCAGCCGGCGACGTCCGTTCGCCTGGCCGTTTATTAATTATTGACCACTTGTCAGCCGTGTCGATGACCTCAGAGGCAGGGCTAATCAGGACTCACCCGTCTTCTTCTTCTTCCTTTGAGCTGGCATAGCCCCCTTTTATTCGACAGACATGTAGATGTTATTATATCCCCCTGAAGGCTCTGGCATGTTTGTACGGAGTAAGTATATCGTTGATAGTGCATTACGCAGGCCAAGAGCGCTCTCGTCTAACCGGGCGCCCAACCGCCAGCACAGCCTGCCCGCCTGTCCAACGCCGACCTGTCTCAGAAGATAATCTCCTCGACCACCGTCGCATTTCCTTCCCATCCTCGTCGTTTGTTCTTCTGACATTGACTCTGGTATAATAGAATATATTAAATACGGACGAGTAAGAGTAAGAGTAAGAGTAAGAGTATGGTAACAAAAGAGAAAACAAACAGTACAGGGCGGTACTGTAATACAGGGGAAAAACAGTAACCTGAGACCAAACTTACGGCCGTTACGGAACAATACAGCCCCATTCCGAGGTTAGTCAGCAGCTGTGACGTAAAATACGCCCGAACGCGGTGACGGTTTTTCCGTTTCCTGTTTTTTATCGTCACGTTTCCGCTCCTTTTCGCCTTTTCTCAGTCTCCATCGACTTTTCCTCCCTCTTTTTGGAGTCGCCAGCTCGAGATTTCCGGGTCAGCGACAGCGACGAGCAGCGGACAGACCGAAGACGAGACGAGACCGAAGAGCCAGCGAGAGCCAGCGAGAGCCAGCGAGGCATCGAGACAGAGACAGACAGCGAGCCCGACAGCGACAAAGAGTGCAGAAGAAGCAGAGACAGAGACAGAGACAGAGACAGAGGCAGAGACAGAGCAGAGCGCCCGCCCAGTGTGCATCCTCTCGCGCCCGGCCAGCGAGCAGCCGCCCAGCCGCCGGCCGTCGACCCCTCGCTGCTGCTGCCCCGTACCGTCGCCGTCTCGCGCTGCGGTATTACGATGGGTCGCACCGTCGACCAGGAAGTCCACGCCGCGTTTGTCGAGTTTCGCGCCAAGGAAGACGACAAGGTGAAACTCGCCCCGTATTTTCATGTATTGCTGTTTGTTTGCGTGCGAGAGAGAGAGAGTTATATATAAAAACCAAAAAAGAAACAAGACTAAAAGCTGTCCGGGGATGCGGTTCCCCCTTGCGCCGCCTTGTAGTGTCTCTCCGTGCAGTGCATCTACTGCCAGCAGATCCGAGCGAAGAACACCAGCCGGCAGAAGCAGCATCTCCTCGAGTGCCCGGCCCTGCGCGGGCACAACAACCCGCACGCCCAGCCAGCGCCGCCGCCCCAGCACCAGCAGCAGCAGCAACAACAACAACAGCAACAGCAGCAACAACAGCAGCAGCAGCAGCCGCAGCAACAGCCCAACGGCGTCGGCGGAGCTGCCAATGGCTACGGTGCGGCGCCAGGCGGGCCCCCGGGCGCTCCGGGCGCTCCAGGACCGGCCACCGCGACGCTGCCCTCGACCAACGGCGGGCTGATGACGCCCGGAGTCAACCCCCATGCCGCCGCTGCTGCTGCCGCCAGCGGGATGCAGACGCCCATGGCCAGCCTGCCGGGCCGTCCCTCGCTGCCCTCCCAGGCCGCTCCGCCGTCCGCTGCTGCTCCCGCCGCCGCCCCTGCGCGCGCCCACAGCACCCCCAAGGCCAAGCAGGCCCGCCAGAGCACCTCCAGCCTGCCTGCGCCGCCGCTCGACGACGTCCACGCTGCCTTTGTCGAGTTCCGCGCAAAGGAGGAGGATAAGGTCAGTCTTTTTTTTACTCCATTTTACTCCATTATATATTCTGTTAGAATATGCTGACTGGGTATTTTGTATAGTGTCTCTCGGTGCAATGTATATACTGCCAGCAGGTGCGGGCCAAAAACACCAGCCGCCAGCGCCAGCATCTGCTCGAGTGCCCGACATATCTCAACGTCATGAAGGATTCCATCCCGGCAAACAACCTGCAGCACACCTTTCCCGAGGGAGACATTGCTCGCTCCCTGCAGCTGCCCGCGCCCACGCTCGAGCTGGACTTCCGCATGAGCATCAAGCTGAATCCCTCCGTCTCCCTGGGACACAGCATCTGGGGCCAGCGGGACTGGGTCACCTTTGTCGGCGGGCAGTGGGCCGGCAGATGGGGCAAGGGAGTAGTCTTGGTGAGTCTTTTTTTTCGATCTCTTTGAGTATATATATCCAGAGTTAACACTAGCATCGTCTAGCCCGGCGGTCAAGACTCCCAGGTGGTGGTCAAGGAGCTGGCCACCAGCATGAAGTCGTCTTACCTCCTGCAGACCTCCGACGAACCGCCCGCTTTCATCATGGTCAAGGCAAACGGCTGGATGACCGGCGCCAAGGAAGTGCTAGAAAAGGTCGCCGATCCCACCGTCGCCGACTCCATCAACCCAAACACCTACAAGTACCGCGTCAACATCTCCATGGAAACAGGCGACGAGCGGTACGCCTTTGTCAACACCATCATGTGGGTTGGCAGCGGCTGTCGTCGTGGCTCGGAAGGTATTTTCTCTCCTCCTTTTTTTCTCTTTTTTTTTTTTTTTTTTTTTTTTTCCANGGTATACACCAGTCTAACTTCCAGTAGTAATCCTCGATGCATTCCGCGTCAACTAGACCACCTCTGCATCGCTCCCAAAAGAAAAATAAATAAAATAAAGAGAGCCCCCGAACAACGCTTGAATGACCCCCTTTAGTAATGCTTCTGCTTGTATGGAAAATCGGTTATACTTACATCATGGCCAGGGAAATGTGGTGTTTTTCTTTTCTGTTCCCTCTTCTATCCAACGTTATATACCTTATGCCCGTCTCCAAAGTTGCCTGGCGCCTTGTCTCCTCTGCCTCCTCCCAACCCGCTAATGCTTTGCCCTTTTTTTTTTTTTTTTTTTTCTTCTCTTTCTCTGTCTTCTTCTTTTATGTTCTTTTTCTTCTCTTCTTGATACCACTTTATTGCACCTTTGTTATTCCTCAAAGACCTTTTTTTTTTATCTTGCTCTCCTTGCCTTTCCATCTAACGTATAATGCTAAAAATGCCACCCTCCTGCTTCCATACCGTTACCATAACGTCAATACCTAGAAACACCCAAAAAACACCCAGTAAATAACAACTTCCCCCCACCCATGGCTCTATTCTTACCGTAAGGCACCAACTTAATCTTAGTTCCGGGCGGCGTCTAAATAATGGCCAAAAATACCCCTATCCAGCTCCCCTATTTTATTACTTACTAGCCTACCAGTTAGAATTTTAAGCTTTCCATAAGGTTTTATATACCTAAACTCGCCCCTAAGATGCTAGCTCCCGCTGGTACGGGCGGTAAAAAGGGTGTTATCCCCAAGGTGTATCCTGACGTTCGTTACCGCCGGGCCTCTGCAGCTTTTTTTAATTACTGGAACTGGACTGATACGCGTGCGTTTTAGTATGGGCAGTGTTCCAGAGGGGGGGAAAAAAACATGCTTTATACTCTGATAATACGCATACCCGGAAATCCCAGAGTCTGGGGAAGAAACGGCCGATACATAGTGCCGGTATTCGGGAGATCGCTGTACCAGGCCCCATGGGTGGGTGTTTACCGTCTTTTATCTTTTATTTTACGTCTGTTCTGGTATTCCGTGCCTGGTACCTGGTTGTTGGCGAAATTACCACGGTGCAGAGGGTCCTCCGTAGGCAGGTAGGTGGTGGTAATGGGCGTGGCAGCGTGAAGACCTGCCTATCATTTATGATAATGATAATGGGCGTGATGGCACTGTAGTTCTAAAAGCCAGAGAGAAGAAAAAAAAAAAAAAAAAAAGGAACCTTCTGTAGTTACTCTATACATACATACGCTGTATAGCTGTATATATACGCTGTCAGACTCACACGGTTTCTATATATCGTTTTACCTCCCTGCAATACCGGAATAATGAACATTCGTTAGCCAGATTTGATCGTGACACCAGATGCAAGGAACGCAGCAGTAAAAAAAACAAAAAAATTAAATAGAACATACCAATCGGTAACAGCCTCTTCCCAGAGACGAATCTCATGCTCTCTCGTCCCACCAAAGTGATCTACAAAGTCGTCTCCAAGCGCCTCGCGAGCAACGCTCTCCTTGGCCGTGAACCGAGCAACGGCGTCCTTCAGGTTCTTCGCCAGCCGCTCGCCCTTGTCTGCGGTTCCGCCGACATCCTCGCCCTTGGGCAGTGGAGGGATGGGAATGTCAAGCTTCTTCTCCACTCCACGCCATCCCAGTGCAACAATTGCAGCGAGGACATAGTGCGAGTTGACGTCGGCGCCGGGGACACGGATTTCAAATCTCGTTCCCTTCCCGCTGCAGGTCGGCGGGGAGATCACCCTGATAGACGCAGCGCGATGCTCCAGGCCCCATGAAACCGTCACGGGCGCCCAGAAGTTTTCTACCAGTCGCTTGTACGAGTTTATTGTGGGAGCGACAATGGGCATTATATCGGGCAGGCCAGACAGAATTCCAGCAAGGAAATGTCGTCCGATGTCAGAGATGTAGGCTAGGTCAGGGTACGGCGGGGAGGGATCGGGAGACTCGCGCACGAACAGGTTGGCTCCCGATTCGTCGACGAGGGAGATATGCATGTGGCCGCTGTTGCCGGGGAGGCCTTGACGTGGTTTGGCCATGAAGACAGGTGTAATACCGAACTTGGAGCCGACGGACTTGACCACATATCTGATTTACAGTTAGCATATATGCATTCCCTTCTTCTTCTTCTTCTTCTTCTTTTTTCGCGGTCTTTTTTCTATGCATATTTTCAGTACGTACTTGAATAGGCCGCCCCGATCAGCCATGTCCTTTACTTCGCCGAACTGCAGTGCCTATTACATCATTAGTGCCATCTCACTGCAGAAGACTGAAAAAATGGTCTACGCACAGCTTCAAAAACGCCAGGCCCACTCTCCGTATGCCAGCTTTCGATGTCACACTCGAATTCGCGACATGTGTCGAATATCCTGTAAAAGTATTCCTGGTTATGCACGGTTCGGGTCAAGCTGTACCCAAACATCCCCTCCGTCAACGGCTGCAGGTCGTTAACCGGATTGTATTGGAGAAAGCGGGCGGTCCCCGTCGAGTTGCGTTCGGCAGAGTCAACAGTCGGCGGCGCTCGATACTGATAGAACTCAAATTCCACTTTCAAGCCACATTAGAATCAAAAACTACCTTCTCCCTCGCTCTGGAGGGTGTCACATCTCATGCATTGGCGTAGTGCGTATCATACCTCCAGCCATGGCCCTGTAGCCCTTCTCCTCCAATCCAGCGGTAGCAGCCCTCAGCAGCCCGCGCGGACACGCTGAGATCGCCTTCTTGGTCTCCGGGTCAAGAAAGCTGACCAGGAAGAAAGGCACGTTGCGCTCCCACGGTATCCTCCGGAAGCTGCTCAGGTCCGGAACAGCCACCAGATCTCGATATCCGTTCTCCTTATTGCTTATCCCCAGCTCCTTGAAGTATGTCTGGTCGTGCATGTCCCAGCCGAAGATAACGGAGCAGAACCCAAACCCATCTTGGGCGATCGAGAGGAACTTCCGCTTCGACACGAGTTTGCCGCGAAGTATGCCATCGGCGTCGAAGCCGGCGACCTTGACCTGGCCGTCATCTTCGAGCACTTCTTCGAGGTTATCGAGGGTCACGCTCTCTGCAGCCATGATGGAGATCGTCTCCCCTCTTTCTTTGACGGTGCAGCAGGGCCGGGGGGGGATGCAGCGAACAGCAGAAACAAGGATTTAAAAAGAAAAAAAAAGTCAACCAGGGCGCAGAATCGAGGACGGCGAAGCTCTAGCAGTGTCGAAGACAGGTCGCCGTTTCTTCTTCTTCTCAGCGCGACGTCGTCGGCTTCGTCGCTCTTCATCGCCCTTCGTCGCTTTCGTCTCCTTTTCTTCCCGCCGCCGTCGCTTCTTCCGGCCGTTATCGCCGAGGCTTATCGCACATCATGTGATTGATTAGTCATGTTTCATTGGTAAGCACTTCCTGGTCTATAAGAACTTGGGCCAGAGGGGGAGGCTTCGAGGCCAACAACGTCTGGGAAGACAGTGAATTTGGAGTAGACGGCAGGACGAGCAGTTACTTTTGGCTGCTCGCTCTTGTTTTACTGTTGTGAGGGTTTTGAGGGTGCTACGCGGGTGCATAGTTATAGAGTCTTGCTTGGATACTTACGACATATAACATGAGTGATGCCCCTTGATCCAGGGCCAGGTAGTTATGGGGGGTGCCGGCCGCCAGGGTGAGGGTAGGACAGCGTTATCTGATGGACTATAACTGAGGTCCTGGAGAATCTGGATTATCATTCTTCTATAACCAACACTGCTCTCCTCCATTTACTGAATCTCATTACTACCTACATTCCCTCGGGAACAGCATTAGAAAACAGATATATATACACAGCTATCCATACTCTTCTAGACCACTAACGACAACCACTCTGTACTATCATCGTATCATCGATCCAAATGCTCGGATATCAAATATCAAATGCTTGCAAAGGAGAGCAGGAGCTTAGTATATGTATAAAGTTGCTCCACTGAGTGGAGACTTCTGCTGCGTTCGGCTTCTCGGTTTCGGCTGATTCATCTCGCCTGCTTCTGCCCCTCGTTCATCTTCTCCTGAACAACGAATGCAAGCTGCCCTTTGATAGTTCGGTATATCAAACTACACAGTAAGTATTGCAATGCTCCCTATACTTTTTCTTGAGTTATATTGTCTCTCCCTTTTTACAGCTTGATCTAACTGGCATACCAGCAGAACAACTCCCCGCACTTCAACCCACTAGATTCACCATGGCCGGAGGACGTCTTCAGGGCAAGAATGCCATTATCACTGGAGCTGCAGGGTGAGAATTTGATATCCCATAGCTTCTATTCTTGCTATGAAGCTAACTGGAACGTATAACAGTGGAATTGGCCTCGAGACAACTATCCTTTTCGCACGCGAGGGCGCCTCCGTTCTCATGGCAGATATCTCCGAGCCAGCCCTCAAAACCGCTCTCGAGAAAGTAAAGAAGGTCGTTCCAGAAGGCGCCAAAGTCGAGACGATAAAATGTGATGTTTCCAAGGAAGCCGACGTCAAGGCCATGATTGACCATTTGGACGCCTGGGGTGGCATGGATATCATCTTCAACAACGCCGGTATCATGCACGCAGACGACGCAGATGCCCTCGACACCCCTGAGAAGATCTGGGACTTGACTCAAAACATCAACGTCAAGGGTGTTTGGTTCGGATGCAAGCATGCCGTCGCCAGTCTTCGCAAGAACAAGAAGGCCAAGGGAAGCATCATCAACACCGCTAGTGTTGTTGCTCTTGTCGGCAGTGCTACCCCACAGCTTGCATATACCGCTAGTAAGGGAGCCGTGCTCGCCATGACCAGAGAGTTGGCGATCGTGCATGCCCGCGAGGGATTCCGATTCAACTCTCTGTGCCCTGCCCCCTTGAAGTGAGTGTTGCCAGTACATTGAACGTCTAGGGTATCATTTTTTTACTGACATGTGAATTACAGCACCCCTCTGCTCCAGGACTGGCTTGGTGATGATGCTCCTAAGCGTCTGAGACGCGAGATTCACTTCCCAACTGGCCGATTCGGAGAGGCCGTTGAGCAGGCTCAGGCCGTTTTGTTCTTGGCCAGTGACGAAAGCAGCTTTGTTAACGGCACCGACTTCGTCGTCGATGGTGGCATGACCAAGGTACGTTACCGTTTATTTATTGCATTCTAATCACAACTGTCTTTGCTAATCTTGTGCTAGGCATATGTCACCCCTGAGGGCCCAGCAACCGAGGCTCCCAAGAGCCTTGCTGCATGAAACAATCATTATAGAATAACGACCGGGCTTTAGTATATAAACGCTTCTGTTATACGTGATTAAATATAATCTGATAATGAATACTTATGACAATGACACTTGATTACTCATTGACCATTTCAAAACATTCTAGTAATCGTACTGGAACTTAATGCATCCTCCGAGTCGCACGTCAACACTAATACCTAGAGAGTCCCACGGCGTCATTAGGTAATCCCGAACAACCATTCATACTACTTTTCATGAACACCACAAAGTTGAAGCCCCTTTATCCCCTTCTCTAAGGCCTCGAGACATGAGTTGATCGTTTTCTAAGGATCCGGGTGAGCTAGGGCATCAACAGGGTATAGTACGGGGATATATCATACCGCACGGTGCCGAATAGAAGGAGTTTCTTCAATATTCAACTGATTGAGGGCCTTGGATATGGTAGTAAAGCCGGCATAATGGAAACTCTGGCTTGGTTTGTGGCCTAGAAGACGAAGATCTGCAAGGCGTACAGACAACGTCCCCAGAATAATACCTGCAGACACACAGTTGTTCGACGTCGCTACATGTTCCAGTCTAGAAACTGTGCGGTTGGTAAATTCCAGAACTCTTAGAATCAACGCCGCCTCTCTCTGTTTCCCAATCTTCACTGCTCCGATCGTTAGATCTTGGTAGAAACAGCCAATCCAAGCTCTACTTACAGAAGACTGTCGGAGGAATGGGGAAGTGTGAGGCTATTCGTCCCTTGCTGGATTTCACGGCCAGCTTCGTCATCATCTGGAAAATGTGCGCCTTCTCAAAGATGTATGCAACATAGGTCCACATATGCGCAACCTCCGAGTAAGCCTTTGGAAGACGGCTGTTAAGTGCGCAGATCCAGGTATCCGCAAAACTTTCCACTGCTTCAAGGCATTTGTAGGTGTCGACTAGAAGGGCAATATCGGTAAGTGTCCGAAGCGTAACTTTTCGAGGCACATTCCTGGAATGGCCGTGGAATATCTTCATAAGGATCATGAATGCCTCTGAATTGGTGCATTTCAGAGGAAGTTGAAAAACATGGCGACAATTCGGCTGGTGTCTCAGCTTCCATGGGCCACCAAATTGTTCACGGAAATAACCAGAGGCTAGAATGAGTTGTCTTGAAGAGACTGTTAAACTCTCCTCGTGAGCCTTTTCGACACTGTGCTGCTCTGGCTCCACCTTTAGAGCAGTGACCAAATCTCCGCCAGGGTCCAATACATGGTTTGTTGGGCAATTGGTCATTGTAACTTCAGGAAGTAGAGAGAATTGAAAGGTTCAAAGCTAGGTCTTGAAAACACTGGCCTTCCTGGTACGGAATTGGTATAAAGATATATAGATAAATGGTGGATAAGTGGAAGAGTAGTAATCAAATAGGTACTTAGAGTGCATTGGGGCTTTAAGTACTCCAGTATTTGGCTGCTTGACTGTAAAATAAGGTTCATTTCAAATTCCAGTGTTGTTAATATCAAATTTGCAGTTTTGTTCATGCTGGCGTTGTTGTTGTAGTAGTAGTGTTACTTTGAAGTGTTGATATTGACTTTGATAAAGTAGAGAGAGAGCGCTGCGAGTAACTAACTAGTTACGCGCTAAGCCCAAAACGGATTAGCTGCAGATAGCCTGGATAAGCTTGGACTTGCAGCAAAACGACGAAGAGCTCGAAGATAGAGAAAGCAGTCGTTTAATGCCTTTGGGACGAAGATAATCACTCTACTACTATACGATACCTTGCTCGATATAGAGGTATTGTTTTGCATAATGTCAGCACGGTCATGGGCTAAGATGCTTGTCGGGTAAGTAGTGTTCATCTGCCTGCAACCTGAGAACAACCGCTGACCAGCATTATACAGAGGCGCCGTACTCATTATCGGAGGCCCGGCATTGGTAGACTACTTGCGCCCTACAGATGAGGAATTGTTCAAGGTATGCGCATACCTCCCTGGCCTACATCTAGAGAACAGCACTGATTTATATATGCGTCAATATAGCGATTCAACCCCGAGATTCAGAAACGCAACTTGGAGAACCGGGAAAGACGACAGCAGGAGTTCGATCATTTCATGACGCAGCTTAAGGAAAAGACGAGCTCGAGTAGGAACAGTACGTTGTTAACCATACACCTCAATTGATCCGTATTGTTTGTTGTCATGGCTGACGTGGACATGTTGGATAGTGTGGGAGACTAGCAAGACAGCAGAAGCGGACAAGAAGAAGCAACAGACGCAACCCGTACAACCAAAGCAGGACTCAGAATGAGTGATTTTTGCAAGAGGGTATAATATGGGTTATTCTTGATATACGTTCTCTATACCAGCCGGTGACATGCTAGGTTAGACATTGAGTATGAAGAAAACCAGCCACTCTTCATACGGTTTATACTGCCACCTTTAAGATAACGGCCTGTGAGGATGCTGGGACCGCGGTATTCACCCATGGGCAAAGATATAATGTATTATACGTTAAAGTTGGGATTGAATTTAGGGATGGCGTTGGCAGGGCTGTTTGATCTATATGAAGGACATTGTACCTTCTACCTCTCTATTGACTAGCGATAAACCTTCCCGCTCATGTACATATAGAAAGACAAGCCGATACAATGAGAAGTATTGCAAAGAGGGAAATATCACAGTGAGTCAGACTGCTAGAAATTACCAAGCACCGAGGCATAAGCATAACTATAATAACTAATATTTACTATTTGCAAAGCGGTGTGCCCTGGGCGTATTTATTGTAAGTGACAAAGAGAAAACAAAGGAAGAAAAGAAACAGAGCAAATAAGCATCTTCAAGGGAGCAAAGAAGTAACTGCAAGGGAAACAAGGTCATGAATATTGCCTAAGACGCGCAG